TCTGTCGTCCGCTTTTTTGAAAATTTTTACGCACAAAAAGACTTACACAACAACAAGAATTAAAAACACATTTACGAGGCTGAACAGGTGGAGTGTTGTTGCCGGATATGCTGCATTTATTTGGTCGCTACAACATGTCCCTGTAGACACCAATGTCGAGGTACTTATTCTCGAGAGCAGACTTGAAAGACTATGAGTACTAAACATGTATTGTATACAATCACCTACACACATCACGACTGTCCACATATTTAAAAGTCAGATTCCCGACAACTAAATGATTCCACAACACACATCCATTTTCTCACAACGAACCGACACACGCTAAGATACGCGGCGAGAGAGCGGATTGGGCTCCCAACAATTGACATAGAGCGTCCTTTAACCGGGGAACCGAACTTCTTTTCACTCGTATCCAGGTAGTCAGCGCGCTCCGGGTTACGGATCTATGTCTCCGAAACATCCACACATACACGATATTAACAACATATCTCTGGATACATACAAGTTCGTAGTCCTAAACCGTAGAGTTCCCGTCCCGGACTTTGTAACCTTCGACACTCGCTCCAGCACTAATCTACCTTTTACAGGCGGTTAATATACGCCTCGGCCGATCAAGCACACAGAACGAGCCGAGAAGTCAACTGGGTAGTATGCAAATGGGTGGCCTCGGAGTCATAACGGCGACGACACAGACACACAGACATACGCGCACGAGTGAACAGCAGCGCAGGTTTAGCGTGTGCAAGGCACACAGGCGACTATCGCCCGTGGGCGGCTACAAGCCTATAGGTTAGAAGTTATGTATGGCTTCTGTCTAAACGTACCGAACTTATAAGCGGGACTGAACCGTGAGCTGCTGGGCCACGCATAGAACAAACTGTCCGCCGTGTCAAACAAGTTGTAGACAATATGAGGCCAAACGGGTCGAACATCACCAATAGTGCAAGCGGAATTGTGCGCGTTCCTAGCGGGGCAAGTCTCTCCTGTGTCAAAGCATTAATTCAGGGTTTTTACTAACCGGTATCAGTATGTTGTTACTTCGGCATCATTTTGAAACGTGTATTACAATTAAATCACGGTCAAATATGTTCATCTTGTTGTAGTTGTAGCCCCCTTGCCAGCAATTCTCTCTCTAGTTTAGCATACTCAGCCCGACTTAGCCCGATTGTTCCTGGCCCTAGAACCACGATTTTATGGGGCCAGAAAAACTGTGAATTAGGACCCGCTAGCCGGTACTAGGCCAAGTGGAAACGCAACCAAAAACGGGCCCCGCACGGCTCGGCACGCTTAAAGCGCTGCAGTGGAAACGCGCCATTAGAGAGCCGAGCCAAATGATCCGGCTCACTAACGTAAAAAGACTGTATCTATAAGGGACGGCTCAAGTCAAAATTCAAGCACCCCATCGTAATATGCAGATATTCAAAGCTTAATTCGAAACTTCCCTAGAAGCTTTGAATATATAAAAAATACATTTGGTAAAGGCATTCCATTTGAAATGTTGAAAACGTAGGGCCTCCACGCATCTTGCCAACACCTGGTTTGTATTAATTCAGGCAGTAGACAATGACTCCACTCCAGGTAATCCCTGTCTCAAATGTCCACATTACTTTTCTATGGCATTTAACCTATGCAGGCGTCCTACGATGGATCGAGTACTTCCTACTCAGGCATTCACGCTACTACATCAACACCAAGGAATGAAAGGGTATATAAAAGACTATCTAAAAATAATACTGTACCACTTTATTAGCAACATGTATACTGCTTTCACACACATCTGAAACTTACTGTCAGAAATAAACTTTGGGCTGTCTGTTTTCTAGTGGCAAAGCAGTAGATTACATATGTTTCCATGTGTTTTTGTGTATATGAGTTTGTGCTTATGCAAGTTATCTACTGTTTTATATAAAATGCCTTGCTTGTACTCTATTTTCAGAATGAGGACTCGTCAGCTTCAAGCTCGGACAATTCCAGCTCTGATGATGATGACTTTGAACTTCCTGACAGTCGAACAAGTCATGGCAGTGACAGTTTTACCAATATGAACCACCAGCTGGATTTCATGGACAATTCAGCTTTTGCAGATCTAGACTCTTCTCAGGAGATGATGGGGACCTCTATGCTGCAACCAGATAATGCTTCTTGCAGCCAGCAGGAAGACGACTCTGCTTTCAACCCTGAGGAACTCGACAGGAATGGAAACTCCAAATCCAGGAAGGCTAGACCAAAACCCAAAAGAGGTTCTAGTCCCAATAAAAACTATTGTTATGTCTGCGGTAAAGGTCATACTAAAATTTCTCGCCATCTCTTAAAGCATGCTAAGGAAGTTCCTGAAATCGCTAAAGCTAAGTCATTACCGAAGACTTCCAAGAAACGAAAAGAGTTATTTAGTGAATTTCGTAACAGGGGAAATTATCAACATAACCAAGGGGTGTTAAAGGAGAACAGTGGAGAGTTAAAACTGAAAAGACGACCTACCACCAGTGCGATCACTTCTAAAACCCATGTGCACTGTATTCATTGTAAATGCATGTATTTACGTAATGCTTTGTGGAGGCACGTATCCAGATGTCCTTCTAGGACAACGCCATACTCCACAAAGGACGGCAGGGCAAAAGTCTTAATTGAAACTGCTCTTTCAGAGTCACCGTTCTCCAAAGAAATTACAGCTGATGTGTGGAAGTTGCTCTCAACTATGAAACTTGATGAGATCTCATCTGCAGTTGTAAATGATTTTCTTCTTATACAGCTGGCACAGAATCTGATCAAGAAGTATGGAAATAACCAGAAGAAATATGAAAAAATAAGAAGCAGTCTGCGAGAAATGGGAAGACTTTTGTTGGCATTGTTCGAAATGTCGATATTAAGCTTTGAGGATGCTATCAAACCAAAACATTTTTACAAAGTTGTAGAGGCTGTCAAAGACCTCGCTGGTTTTGATAAAAAGATGCAGAGCTATAACATACAAAGTCTTCCTTTGAAAATTGGACAGTCACTGAAAAAAATCTGCACAATTGTCCTCGCTGAAAGTAATAGTAATGAGCAGATGTTGAAGGACGCAAAAGCATTCTTGAAACTGTTTGAAAATGAATGGTGTGAACTTGTGGCCCAAACAGCCCGACCTTCGTTGGGTGGACGAAAAGGAAACAATCCATGTACCATACCCTTCACACAAGATGTGCAGATGTTCTACATGAACCTAGAAACAACATCAGCTTCTGCCAGTGAAAGCATAGAAAAGTATGAAAGCCCACAGGTTTACAATGCACTTTGCAGAGTAACCCTCGCACAAGCATCGGTCTTAAGCAAATGTGCACCCGAGGTTTCAAAAATGACACTGGAGACATTCCAGGAAAGAGACGACTCTACCCAAGGGTTGTCCAAACACTTCATCAGGATAAATGTTCGGAGCAGGAGAGGCCAAAACATTGCTGCCTTGTTGACCTCTGAAATGGTCAGTGCAATAAATCTGCTTGTGAGCAAGAGAAAAGCATGTGGCGTACACAAAGACAATCCTTTCGTGTTTGCAAAGCCTGATTCTTCTCCCACAAGCACCCACTCTGGAAAGAGCTGCATGAATTTCTTTTCAGGTCTGTGTGGTGCAAAGTACCCATTACATCTCACGTCGTTACATCTTCAAATGCACCTTGCAAGAATCTTCCAGATTCTCAACCTGGAGAGCGACGAGCTCAATGACCTCTCTAAACTGTTGAGTCAGGACATCCGGGCCGACAGGGACTATTATCGTTCGCCAGAGGCAGCCTTGGAACTTGCAAAAATAGCAAAACTTCTTCTGGCAATGGAAAAGGGTACTCTTGAAAGATTCAAAGGAACATCTCTGGACGAAATTGAGATTGGAGGTAGGCATCCAGTATTATACTGTTTGTTTCTGCCAGTGGCTGAGAAAGAACTCTTTTAAAACTACAAATAACCATATAACTAATTATATCTTGCCTTTTATTCAAGATGAATTGGAGTCAGATACGGAGCAGGACAACTCTGAAAGTGATGATGGTGTTGAGTACTTTAAAGAATCAGATGTTTTCCTTCAGTGGAAGGGTATGTTGTCAAATGTTTCCGTTTTATTCATACTTTCATCTCCCAAATAACACAGAAATTGATCAAACGCATAACGTTTCTAGATGCTGCGGAACAACAAGGCCTGACTCCTGAGCAAGACGCCCTTGAGCACATAAAGACATGCGGAGACAAACCCTTCCTGGAGGAACGGCTTATTGACCCCATTAAAGGTTTGTTTAGTTTATTCCTTTTTAGCTAACGGGGAGTCCTAAAGAAAGACCGGCGCACTATAAGATGAGCCCTGCACAATAACTCTTACTGAATTTGTTGGTCAATAATTGGATGGAACATGGAATTTCCTTTTTATTGTTGCTTTTATAGGGAGGGGTGTGTTTACAAATGAATCCATTGAACCATCCACCTTTGTTGTTGAGTATCGTGGGAACATCTCCCGTCGCAAAGAAACCAGGAAAAAAAAGTGTGGGGACACTTTGAAAAACTATTCATTTGACTTCTCATGGATCGGAAGAGACTGGCGGTGAGTTTACTTATTTTTCAGATTTCTCCGTTAAGGAGGGGACTCGTAAAAAAAATCTATATTTTGGCTTTTGATCAGAAAATATTGATGTTATCAAGTTAAACATTGATTTATCAACAAGTGTATGGGTGTAGTACATTTACACAATATATTTCAACATCAGGCTACCATGTCAGTGTACATTTGAAAAAGTTAGATAGGTAGAATTTTAAATGGCTTAATTCACCTGCAAAACTGAGTTGTTGGAGTGCATCAGGTGTAAGTTGCTAATAATGAAATCATAAAGTATCTAACAATCTGTCACAAATCGAGCCCAGTCAATGTTGTACAAAATATATTTTGTCCGTGGTTTTAGTATCATTAAGAATATTTTTCTTTCTAGCATTACAGCTTTGAATGAAGATGGGACCCTCGGGAGACTCGTGAATGACGATCATATAAGGCCAAACTGTGAAATGAAGAAAATTGTCTATGAGGGAAAACCACACCTGTGCCTGTTCACCGTGACAGCAATATCTCCAGGCGAGGAGATAACTTACAATTATGGAGACTCCTCTTATCCGTGGCGCCCAAGGGTAGGTTTATAATCTTTGTTTGTGCCTCAACAGTGGTGACCGCCTAGGAGGAAGGCCATATGTCTTTAAGTTATCCATATATTGTTTATCCGTCCCATTCTCTTGAAGACTTTATCTCAGGAGCACCTGGAGGGATATTATACACATTTTGCATTACAATTCTGTGGTCTAAGGTTATTGTGACCTCACAAAACATGTTCTAGAACAGTGGTTCTCAACTGGTGGGTTGCAGATGTGTGAGAGAAAAAGAAAATTGAATTTCTTTTTTTGGAAAAAAGTCTTAACTTTTATTTTGAAGGCCCGATTTTCTAACTCTGTGCATGAATTACGCGTTGGACTGTAAGTACCGGAGACCATAAACGCTTTTGAAAACTTCTGTCACATAGTGATCATCTTCTCAATAAAACATATTTGCTGATGTTTTTTCGATATTGTATGCTGAAAAGCGTATATATTACAGCACGATTTTTTGTTGAATAGATTTGAGTGGTTATGGAAATGTCAGGTCTCGATTTATTGACAAAGGAAAAAATGGGTCCTGAGGCCTGACAAGTTGAGAACCACTGTTTGAGAAGACTATAACTCAAAAATAAAATGCTAATCATGACAATTTCACCAATGTCTAATAGAATAAAACTCAAAGCTCAATTTTTACAGGAATGCAGTGAACAGAATACACCACAAACGGATCTAAATGCTGAAGAATCTTCATCTGAGGATGTAAGTGTTTGATGCATTATCCTTATAAAACACATGGTAAATATGGCCGACCGACAGTACAAAAAAAACACAAAGCATTGCAATGCTGATTTGGACGTACATTTTCATGGCACAAGTCAAAGCTTTCACACCATGGCAGGATGGTGTGTATATCCAGAGGCTTCTTCAAAGAATCTGCTTCTATTGTCTAAGTAAGACCACAAAAAACAACACAAAGAGAAAACAACTGCCACTTGTACTAATGTTAAATTGATGCATCCCTAGTGCTTTGTGTTTTCTTCTGCAATTTTCTGATGCCATGGGAGATTATTGGCCGTGATGACAGTATTAAGGTGGTTGTAGTAGTGAATAAGACTCTAATATAATCAAACTGCAATACTGCTTAATCGGGTGTATTTCATCAGTCTATGCTTGAGGTGGTGATATGAATGAGTGCTCTAGTGCTGAACTATAACTCCAAACCTATGCTGTTATTTTCTGCAGCTGGACTCCTGTTAAACCATTGTTATCAAGCATAAATCTGTCTTAGAATTACCGAACTAGAAAGCAGCACAAGAACATCTTAGATTGCTCCAGTTTATTTCAAAGAGAAAAAGGAAAACAAAACAAGCTTAACAATGTTAAAAGTAGAATATATGAGTCTAAGGCTGTGCTCTTATGGCATAGTGGGGAATTACTAAATGTTTTGTTTTAAATATTTCCAGGCTGAGGAGTCAACAGGATCCTTCAGTTCTGCAGCATCCTGCTGTGACGAAGAATACGTGCCGTCTTCTGAAAAGCAGAGCTTTGAAGAACAGGTTGATGCCCCACACACCAGGCAGCAGGAAAACACTGATTCAAGCTCTGATGAAGAGCTCAAAGACCCCTCATTCACCAAAAACAATTATTGTTACGTTTGCGGGGCAGCTCAGACTAAAATTTCTAGGCACCTTTTTACCCATAGAAATGAAGAGCCTAATATAGCTGCAGTGTTAAAACTACGCAGAAACTCCAAACAACGAAAAGCTCTACTGAATGAGTTACGTGACAGAGGAAATAAAAAACACAATCAAGAGGTGTTGAAGACTCGCTGTGGAGAACTTAAAGTGAGAAGGAGACCAAGCATTCCCACCCCTACTCAAACCTATGCAGCCTGTCTGTACTGTAAGAACATATTTGTTCGTGAGAAACTTAAGCGACATATGCCCAACTGTTCTGCAAAGAAGTCCTCAGATCCTCAGATAGGTAAAAGGACACAAGTTTCAGCTGCTGCGGAGTCAACAGACCCCAAACAAATCTCATCAGCTGTGAGGAAGTTGTTAAAAACACTGAAGAGGGATGACATTTCATATGAAATCTGGAATAGTCCCTTACTACTGCAGCTGGCACAGGTTATGTACCCCAGGAAGGAAACAACAGCAAAAACATACAGTTGTGTCAAATTGAGGCTGAGACAAATTGGACGACTCCTGTTAGCATTGAAGAAAAAGTCGATATGTAGCTTGGAAGATGCTACTAAACTGCAAAACTTCAGCAAAGTCGTTGAAGCAGTGAGAGAGCTCAGTGGCTTCAATGAAGAAACCATGTCCTGTGAAAAACCAACTCTCATGAATGATTTAGGAAATTCGCTTAAGAAAATTGCTGATATTAGCTTTGCCACAGCTTGGAAAGAGAATGCTGATACAGAGAAGATCCTTGAAGCACAGAAATTCATACAACTGTGTGAGAAAGAATGGAACTTTGTCCCACTGAGATCAGGTGCAAACAATATAGCAACAATACCATTCATACATGATGTGCAGCTTTTCTATCAGTGGATACAGAAGACAGCAGCTTTGGCGGTTCAAAGTCTGACAATGCATGAAAGCTCTTCGGTCTACACTGCACTTATGAGGGTGACATCTGCAGAAGTGTCAGTCTTAAACAAAAATATGGCAGTAGTTTCAAAAGCAACGCTCAAGTCATTCCTTGAACAGGACCAGACAGAGATTCATAAAGACGATTCTGCTAGCCAGTCAAAGTTTGAAAAAATGTTGTCCAACCACACCGTGAAGATAAACGTTAAGACCATTGGTGGCCAAAAAGTTACTGCTACATTGACCCCTAAATTGATCACTGCACTAATCCTGCTTGAGAACAAGAGAGAGGCATGTGGTGTACATACAGAAAATCCCTTCTTATTCTCAAGACCGGATGGCTCACATAAAAGCTTCTACCAGGGACATCGCGTCGCCACCAGTTTTGCAGCTCGCTGTGGTGTAAAGAACTCGTCACACCTTCGCTTTGCACTTTTCCATAAACATATTGCCAAAGTTTTCCAGATTGTCAGCCTCACGAATGACGAGCTTGGTCAGCTAGCCAAACTGTTGGGCCGCGACATTCAGACTGACAGAGAGTACTATCAGACGCCAGACGCAGCTGCTGACATTGCAAAAATCTCAGTGCTCCTGTCAGCAGTGGAGGATGGATCTCTTGAAAGATATGAAGGCAAATCACTCAAGGAAATTGACATTCCAGGTATGTGTTCAGCTCATTACTTAAAGAAGCCCTATTTGGCTTTTTCGTGTTTTTTTGCTTCAGTAGACAGAAGCCTTTAACTGATTATTCAATTAAAAAATATAAATCTTTGGAATAATGTCATGAATTGATAATCTAAATCACCTAGTCCTAGTGGTACCACAATATGTATCTTGTTTTCCTTTGCAGATGAATTAGAGCTGGACAACTCCAAGAACATTGATCCTGAGGAGGACAATGAAGAATCAGAAAGTTCTCTTCTGCTGCGAAGTACGTAGTACACACAAACTCTCCTACTGTTAACTCCAATACTCATCTGTAATTCAGAATAGTTTTTCCATGCAGACGTTTTCTGTGGCATTTAAGCTGTTAGAAAGCATCATTACAATAGCATTCACTGGCACAAGATTACCGTCTACTGTTACAGTTGTCGGCATTTTGCCGACAACTGTAAACAGGCATGTCTGTTTGAGCAACTGGCTCAGTGCAAAGAAGTAGACTAAGAGAGTGTGTAAGAGAGAGAGAGGTTCCAGGTTGTTATATTGAAAATATTTTGGAGAATATTTGTCATTGTTCCAATGATAATAAACAAACATTTGCATAAAGCATATTTGACCACTCATATGTTTAGAAGAGTATTAAAAAATATTCCTCTAAGGTACATTTAAAACAGATAAAAAATGTGCGATTAATTTGCGATTAACTATGGACAGGACATCATGCGATTAAATATTTTAATCGACTGACAGCCCTAGTTTGGTTCCTTGTTTTTACTCACTGAGGTCTTGTTTTAAATGCAATATGTTTTTTATGTAGTATTACACATTTTTATTTCATAATTCATGAAAAAGTCAGATGAAACAGATGTATTTTATCCATATATACCATATTGTTCTAATTTCCCACAAATGAAATCGGGGCTCCAGTTCTTATGAATATTAAACCATTTATATCTAGCACAAGTTTCGCTGACCTTTTGTCCATGACTTTTGGTTTCAGCCTGTTGCACTGAGGAGCGAAGATGTATCATTTTATACAGGATATGGAATACTGAATGTGTCATTTGTTTTTGAGATCATGATTTGTTCAAGGACAAAAGGAGGAAAGGAATAAGTAAATAGTGAATAATACAAGTTTTCATAATGTTCTCTCAAATGTATCTCCTCTAGGTCTTCCATTCACAAAAGACTCTTCTGAAACCAAAACAATTCCTTTCCAAAAGAAACGTAGGCGAGCCCCGAAAAAGAGGCCGGACAGTGATTCTTCTGAGATGAGCGATGTGGAAAATGTCATCCGAAAATGTCATCCTTCTCTGTTTTCAGAGAACACAGAGAAGGATGACCGGTCACAGAAGATGCCTGAGAGCTCTGCTGTTATCACGCCTGAGAAGACCATGTCTCCTACCAACGAGGATGCTACACACATGTCTTTCAGTGATGGTGATGATGACATGAATGCAGACTTTGACATGGACACAGATGAAGACACTGTCAGAAATGAGGAAAATCATGAAGAACGTGAAACGACGCCTTTGATAACAGATGTGACGGAGCAGGACAATGACAGCAGTGATAGTCAGAAGAACAATTGTTCACTTAACAATCGTGCAACGGATGCAGAGCTTGAAGAGACAATGGAAGGTGATACAGCAAACAACATGGATGTGGATATCAGGAGTTCCCCTGACTTCATAAATGCAGGTAAAATGTAACCAGAGATCTCTTAAACCAACAAAGTCGTTAAGAAGGATACATAATCTAGGAACCAGTAATGTCCAAACCAAATGTTGTGCCTATCCTTCTAAAATAAATGTCAGACTATTTATTGAATAAGTTTTAAACTTGGCTTATTATTTGCAATTAAGTCCAGGGATAAGCAAAGGGAAAATGAATTACCTTAGTGAGTAAGCTTCATCCTCTGGGGACCATGAATGTCTGTAAAGAAGCATGTGGACTGTATAACATTTAAATGGTTTTACACTTACTTTGTGTTCCCTTTTTTTATAGAAAAGAAGAACAAATTATTAGCTGCAGTCGCTGGAATGAAAAAAGTGAAGATATTAATCCCCAAACTTGACATTGTGAGTATCCACTTTTTTTCGTTTTCATTCTCAAAATCTTGTTTGAAGTATGAATTAAATACATTGCTACTACGACTATTACTACTACAATACTAATACATTAAATACATTCTTTATATACGCGATGTTGGCAACCACATCACTCTTTTTTTGTAATGGGTGTCTATTGTACACCCATGGCTTGGTGTAGATTGCTAAAACTGTAGCCTATGTAGTAAGAAATTATGAATGACACATTTGAAAAGTCTCATAAAACCTTATTTTCTCTTTTAACAAAGTGTTATCATTTGCATAAAAAGAGCCACAGTTTCCCCATTTGGCAATATTGTTATTTGTTGTTATGTTTTGTCCTAGGAAAAGTTTCAGACTTCAGTCCACATTTCCCAATTACCCTCCGATTGTAACTCCGTCAAATCGCCAGTGAAAGATCCGTCCATCCATGAGGAAAACAAGCAAACAAACTCTACATCCAAAAACGTCAGAGACAAGCCGAGCTTTGCAAAGGTAAACGCATATATAGTATAATCATGATTTTAGAAACCACACTCCTTTATGGAATCCTCAGAGCAAAATATATATATTTTTTAAGATTTATCTTATTAATTGTCTTGTTTGTAAGAACAGTTGTGTTGTAAAAGTGCAAACATTTGGAACTTCTCTCAAATTTCTCAATAATATACAGGTTCATTCTAAATAGTATTCTAGATACCTTTCTATGTTGTATAAAGTTAATGCAGTTCTAACTTAAATGCCAGGTATTTTGTTATACTTTTGCTTGATTAGCATGTATGTGTTTAAACCTTGCCCAACAAACTACAGTCAAACAAAGCAGGTACTTTTTGCCATGTTCACTCACATCTCAGGCGACGCAGATGAACTGCTCCTACTGCAAGAAAAGCATGATGAAGGGCCAAACAGCTTACCAGAAGAAGGGATTCACAGATGTCTTCTGCTCCAAAAACTGCCTTTTTGAAATATTCCCTAACAACAAACCAGACACCAAGTCCTGTCACCACTGCCTCAAGTGAGTCTGTTAAAAAACACGACTTTAAAACAGAAAATAATGTTTTAGTACTCACATTTTTTGTACCTGTTTTCCTCGTTGTGTCAGGGCGATATCAAAGCCTCTGGACCTCATCATGGCTGCAGTGGACACTAAAGGAACTATAAAGGACTTCTGCTGTCCCACCTGCCTCATCTCCTTTAAGTCCAACCCTGTATGCACCCAAACACCACAGCAGCTCTGCAGCATGTGCAACAAATCCTGCACTGTAAGCAAAAAAACATTTTTTTAAATTAGTTTTATTGTAACCATAACGTTTTTGTCGTATTGACGGCTCTTTATCATTATCCTCCTCAGACCACCTGCAAGTTAACCCTGAATGAAGATGTCCACACGTTCTGCAGCAACTCCTGCCTGGAGGGTTTCCTCGGGGAGATTAAGGCCGTCTGTGAGATCTGCAGCTCAACCTGCCGCAACAGACCTCTGAAGCTGGAGGTGGATAAGGAGACCAAGACCATCTGCAGTGAGAACTGTCTGCGCCAGTTCATAGAGGTGCGAAAGAAAGAGAAAAGAAAAAAACGTTACTTCAATTGATAAAGTTTGGATGTTTGTTTGCAGGGTTTGATGAGGTATTTATCCATATTCCTATATGTAAGGGTAGATGATGTTGGCTGGGCCCCAGTTTGGAGAAAGAGAAAGGAGCTAAGAAATGTACAGCTCTGGATGAGGACAGCAGCAAATATAGCCACCTAAAAACATCAATACCAGCACTTAAAACGCACTACTCTTTCAAATATGATTATAAAAAATTTGAAAATAAAATGGACCTTAAAGAGCCTGTGACACGAGTTTCCCCCATCATCCAAACCCATCAATTTGAGTAAATATTGTCCCCTTGAAAACCGTTACTGAACTGATTTTGGATATTTGTGACCCGCTCTATCGAAATCAGTCGGAAGTCGCAACGGCTCATTTCAAAATAAACGTGGATTTGTATAAAAAACTATTTTTTCGGGGTTCGGGTGTTTTGTTTGATTTTAAACAAACAAAGTCTTGGCTTTCAGAATATGAAACTTTTATTTCCAAACTCACACGATAAATACATTCTATAAGCTTGTAAAGGGAAGATGACAGGCAATCTGCTCTTCCGCAGCGCCGCTCCCCCTCCCTCCGGCTGACATTATGAATGTAAGCGTACAGTAATCATAAATAACACGGCAGGGTCCGTTACAGTTTGTTTTCATCTGATTTCAATTAAAACAAAGTCTTGGCTTTCAGAATATTAAACTTGTTTCGGCAAATTCAGATGATAAATACAACTTTGACTCACTAACTCACTCACTCACTCACTCACTCACTCAATCACTCACTCACTCACTCACTCACACACTCA